CGGAGGCCGGAGAGCGGAGAGCTTCTGGTCCTCAGGGCCTCCCTGGGGCGGCCAGGCAGGGGTAGGGGTGCCCTGGATCTCGGGGTGCTGCTGCGTGGGAATGGTGGGTCTTGCTCTGTAAGCAGCACCCTTCTGCAATGGGGTCTGGGCACGCAGAGCTGGGCTGGAGCTCGCTCGGGTGCCCTGGGAGCCAGCCTTGTCTCTCCTGCCATGCACCTAGGTCATGTACTACTTCACCTACCTGCTGCAGCCCGTAAAATATCTTTCTGTAGCTGCACCCACATCTGCTTCCTCCTCCCCAAAGCCACCCAAATGCGCAAGAGTGACTGGAAACCACCCTAAGGTCATGTGTCTCGGTGACATCCTCCATCCATCTGTCCTTGGCTCTGAGCGCTCAGAGACAGCTTGCAGTTTGCAATTATCTCGGCTCCCAACTTCTCGAGCGTCTGTCTCGCTGCTCAGACCTCAGGGACAAAAAGCAGCCCCCAGGCGCAAAATGGAAAAGAAAGAGGAAGGGTGCTCTGGAGGAGAGGGCTAGCATCTGTCATTTCGCAATGACTCACAGTCCAGGGCCAGCCCCTGCTTGTGGCACTTCTCTGGACCCCAGAAGAAAGCCAGCAGCTGTTTCTGCAGAGGTCGCACCACAAACATGTATTTTTTGCCTTCCCCCTGCTCTGCTGCCATTTACGTCTCCCTCCTGCTTGGCTGCACCTGGATCTGCTCAGCTGTCGAACTCTCCACAGCTAAGCACCCTGGTAGGTCTCTCGCTCCCTTTCTGGGGAAGATCCTTCTTGGGGATCTGGTTAAGGAGGCTCAGGAGAGGCCAGCCGGCTGGGGTGGGGGGCATGTGCCAGCTGGGAGGCGATGGGGCAGGACAAGGAGGGCACGGACCATATGGAGGCCAGGATATCCCAATACTGTGTTGCTTGGCACTCGGACGGGAACTGCTGCCTGTTACAGAGATGGGTTGGGGGACAGCTCTATTGCTTTTTCTGGGTCTTTTTACTGTCCATACTGAAAACCCCATCGATCATCTGAAACTCTGCTGCTCTTCCCCTCCCTATCACAGCAAAAATACAATTATTGCTGTTGTAACCTGAAATTTCTACTGCCTCCACCGTGAGTGGGGAGGGCAGAGAAGTCAGTCTTTGTAGGAAGCTGTTGGACATAACTGGGCCCTGCTGGTGCCCTAGACCTCAAGCATCCTGGGGACCAACTGAAAGTCTCTGGGGTTTTGGAGCTGGAGCCATTCATCTCAGGCTAAATTGGAGCCAGGAAACTTTCTCTTAAGCCCCAGATCTGAACACATTGTCCTGGAAGTGGTCTTGCATGGAGTGTCGTGCCCTGTGCCCAAGCCAGCATGGGTGCCTGCTCTCAGGAAATCTCCACATTGCTTCCTGTCCCAGAGTGGGATGCGGTGACTTGCGACCGCTGCCGCTCCTTGGAGCTGACGGTCATGGCAGATTGGGCTCATCATGTTTGAGCAGCTGAGATGGTTCCCTTGTCCCTTGGGGCTCGCTATGTGCCCACTCAAAGGGCAACTCAGTTCCCGCAGGTCTAGGGCTGTGAGGCAGCCGTAGGGCAAGCCGGCAGCCGTGGCAGCGCTTGGAAAGCTGTCTCAGGAAAAGCTTTGCAGAGAACCACATGGGCTGCTGTAATGATGAGGGTAATCACTCAAGACAGCTGGCCACTCCGTGCATTCAGGCTCAGGGGACTGCCTTAACTGTTCCCTGGTGCGATGCATTAGCAGCGCATGTTGGCAGATGCCAAGAAGTGTTAACATCTAGCCCTGGCAAAACAGGCTCCTAGGGGGGCTGCATCTCTCTGGCCAGCCCCCCAGCTGGGAGCAGTGCAGTGGGGCAGAAGGGAAGGCTTTAGGAAGGGTATATTTAGGTGTATTGTAGGATCAGGGAGGGGAGCTGCTCATACAGGTATCAACGCACGTCGGAGTGATGTGCAGGAAGCAGAGCCTGGTTGCATTTTTAGAGTGAAGAAAATATTAAGAAAAGGGATTTGATCAGTGGGGTTTTTTTTTTTTTTTTTTCTGAGTCAAAAGCTCTGCAGGGAGCGGGGGGAGGTATGCACAGCCGTGGCCGAGGCGGGGGGGCCCTGGCTGCCTGGGCCCGCCTGAGGGGAAGAGGTGAGAGACTGCGGACAGCTCAGGGGGGAGAACATCCCCGTCTCATCCCCCGTCGTGGCGTGGGTGGCGTGTCCCATCTGCGTCAGAGGCTGGGCAATCCGGGGCTCTGCGAGCTGCTGACTAAGGTGTCTGATCAGGCCACGAGGCTGCGGGTGAAGTGCAGCCTCCCACAGCTGCTTTTCGCCAGCTGGCAGGCGCAGGGACCGTATGTTACTGGGGCGCTGCTGCCTCAGCAGAGACAGGATCCCTGCCTCTTCCCAGGCCACCCAGCCCTTTTTATATCCACTGCGTTTCTGGGGAGACAGTCATGTGCTAGACCCAGCCTGTAGGTTAGGTACTGGGGAGCCAGGGCAGAGCTGTCCCCAAAGTCCTGAAAGGCTGGTGTCACCCCCCAGAGCACCTAGGCACATTCAGGGATACTGCAGAGACCATGCCAGGTACTTTGAGTGGGACCCTGTGCCATGCACCCCTTTTTTTCCACCATCACGCTCCCCATGTCTCCCCCATCTGCCCCAGACAGCCTGTCAGGCTCACAGGGCCTCCTTTGGTTATTTTTGCTGTGAAGACTGGCCAGGTGCTGCTCCAGGGTCTGATCTGCAGCTCTTCCTGGCACACACAGCTGGAGGAGCAGGATGGGGACGGGCATCCGCCATATCTTGCGCATGGTTTGCTCCTACTAGAGCAGGGCATGAACGTGCTAGGGAAAGGGATGTTGTCAGTGCGACGCGACATGTGCATGTCTGCATGCGTGTGAGCAGAGACCATCTTAGACTCCAGACAGGGTTGCTGTTCCTCTCCAAGCCTGGTTGGGCTGGCACTGAGATGACCGCGATGCTAGGTGAGCAGCATGGCATGAGCAGCACATGATGTGGCATGGCTCTGCGGCAAGGGCAGCTTTGTGGCTCTTGTGAATTTTTCTTGCTGACTACGCAGTGTCTTACTTGGGGATGTCACTTCTCCATGGCCTTTCACACTCCTGTGGGGTGCTGGGGGATGTGTGGGGCAGGAGGGAGGTCCTTGGGGGTGATAGTGCTCCTCTGCTTGGTATTACAGCTTAGGAGCACAGTGCCAGCAAGGGTAGAGTTTGCCTCAGCTGAGGCACTGTGAACATCTGCAGGGACCAGGAGGTTAAGGACTAGGATGCAGGACTTCTGGGTCTCAAGCTGCCCTTTGCTGTTGACCGGGCTGATGCCAGCTCTTGGATTTCCTGGCTGCTCTGCAGGGAGGGGTGACAGCTTCCTACATGGTTCCAAGCTGGAAGGGGCAGTGGGAGGGTGCTCTTGGACAAGCCTAATCTCCTGTGTCCTCCTCAGTGCATGGCAAAGGGCGAGTTTTGATCCCTCTCACTCCCCAAGAAGAAGCTGAGTGCCCCAGCGCCTCCGTGGAAGGTTTTCTCAACAGCACTGTGACCACCCGTGTCCTCCCTGCTCTCTACTCCGTGGTGTTGTTTGTGGGGCTGCCAGCCAATGCTCTGGCCTGCTGGGTCCTGGTGACCAAGTTCAAGAGATGTTCCACCACCTTCTTCCTGCTTAACGTGGCCAGTGCTGACCTGCTTTTTGCCCTCCTGCTGCCCTTCAAGATCTTCTATCACCTCTTGGGCAACCAGTGGCTCTTTGGGGACTACCTGTGCCGCACCATGGTAGCCCTCTTCTACGGGAACATGTACAGCTCCATCCTCTTCCTCACCTGCATTGGCCTGGAGCGCTGCATCTCTGTGGTGCACCCATTCCTGTGGAAGGGGTCCAGGTGGATGTGGGGCAGGGTGGGTGTCTGTGTGGGGATCTGGTTGGCAGTGGGGCTGGGCGTGAGCCCTCTGCTCTTCATTCCCCAGACAAAACACATCTCAAGGCTGAACATCACTACATGCCACGATGTCCTAGAAAAGGATGATCAAAAGTTCCTCTTCTATTATTTCCTCTCCCTGGTAGGGCTGGGCTTTGGCCTGCCCTTTGTGCTCATCACCATCTCCTATGGCTGCATCCTAGTGCGGCTGGTGGCCAAGGGGAGTCAATATGGGCACATGGTACACGTCCTGGCCCTGGTCCTCCTGGTCTTCATCCTCTGCTTCACCCCCAGCAATGTGCTGCTCTTCAACCACTATGTGCTGGATGCTACTGGATGCCACAACATCACCTACATCTGGTATGCCTTAGCACTGGTGCTCAGCGCCTTCAACACCTGCTTTGATCCCTTCATCTACTTCTACGTCTCCAGAGATTTTCGGGCCTGCATCTGGGATGGAGGCACCTGCTGCCCCAGGCAGCTCAAGAGCTCGACAGGGAGAGCCTCTGAGAAGGTGGCCTTGCCCCTGAGGTCCAGCGAGCAGAGCCAGCCATAGGCATAGGCAGGGGGGTGCTGGGCTGTGTCCCCCGCCCCGGGGTGGGGGGAACCTGTGGCTCAGTGCCCAGCACCCAGTCATGCCTCTCTATGGCTCCGTGCCGTATCAGCACCGCGGGCACTGCCTCTGCCCCAACCCACCCGTGTATGCCTCGGCTCCACAAAATGCAGCGGCCAAAGCACAAATGGACGTGCTGTCGTTCAGACTTTGCCATGAGACCAGTGCTGTTCCCAGCTGCCATCCAGGCCCTGGAGCAGCCCTTTCCCTGAGTGCACGTCCAAGGCTGGCAGCAGACTCAGGTAAAAAATCCCTCCTGGATTGGAAATTTGCTGTGACTTTGCCAAAGAGCATTGGAGCTCCACAGGAAGGTGTAGAATGACCCATGCTGGACCCTGCTGACAGGAAATCCTGGTGTTTTTAATCTCGTCGGCCTCTCCCTCTGCACAGGCTCTTTCCCAGCCCCTTGCCTTGCCCCCATCCCACTGTGCCAGGTGCTGGGAGCAGCCAGGCACCCTTGGTGGTGGAATGGTCCCAACTAGGACAGATCCACTTCTCTGAAACCTGCAACAGCTTCCCCTTCCCCAGTCCTCCCCCCCCCCCCCCCCCCCCCCAAAAGCAGCAGTTCCTCCATAGGCTTTCCTGGGCACAGCCCCTTTGCAGCATGTCACAGGGCTTGGTGTCCCTGCTGCAGCCCCCAGCATTGCCCCTCTGTGCTCGCATCCTGCTGGCTCCCACAGCTGGGTGCCAGCCTTGCATGGCGCAGGGCCTGGCACCACCCGGATCCATGCCCGCAGGACCACCGGTGCCATCACTGCTCACCCTGCATTGACCAAACCCTCCAGCATACAAATAAACCTTTATTTACCTCTGATAAAGGAAGAAACCGGTTTAAATATCCTAGCTGAGCAGGAGCCATCCTCCATCACCAGGACTATGTGCTGGGCACATATGGTCAGCCCTGCTCCTTACAAACCCTCCCCACCCCACTAATATGCCATGGTAAATGCAAGAAGGGATGTGGTGGATAGCTTAGATGTCTCCATCCTGCCCCCAAGGGCGCAGCTCTGGGCACGGGATGTTTGGCAAAACCGAGATCTGTCTCAGAGGACCCGTGTGGGAAGAAAGTTGAACCTTTGTGCACTCAGCACACCCACGCACCCATTGCTGCATGTGCCTGTGCAGGCAGGCGCCTCATGTTCCTCAGCCTGGTACTGCGTCACGCAGCCAAAACTTGCAGACACCACATTTCTGCTTTTATTTTCCCTTTTACTTGCTTCCTTTAGTGCTGGGCCCTGTGCACCTAGCCGTCAGACAGTGGATGTGCCACCCGCGACAAAGGCGTGCAGGACAGTGTCCCCAGCCTGCGCCCTCATGAGTCAGGATGGCTGTGTTGGCATGGCCCCAGTGCCACGGTTCAGCCCCCCCCAAGCTCAACCTCGGCTGGCACCCTGGAGGAACACCATGCCAGCTGCTGTGTGCCCTGGTCCCCCAGTCCCAGCCTTGCCCCGGCTCCCAGCCTGGCTCTGGGGTCAGGCCAGGAGGAGGGAGGACACAGGTGCCTTGATGTGGGAGCACTTGGTACCCAGAACCCCTTGCCCAGGTACCTGCCGCGTGACATGATTTGACCTCCTGCCACTCCAGGTCACGTGGCCACCCATTCAGCATAGCAAGTCATGTTACCTGCTGGCCTGGCCCTGGCCCTGGCCCTGGCCCTGGCCCTTGCCCTGGCCCTGGCCCCGGTCCTGGTCCTGATCCTGGGGGCTGGCCCTCGTTCTTCTTGAGGATGATACTGCTGAGCTCCTGCATCAGCTTGTTGTTGATGGGTGAGGAAGGCTGGATGTTCCTCTTGCGGATCTCCAGGGAGGTCTCTATGCTAGGACTGCTCCCTGGCATGGCCACCTGGTCTTGGTCCCTGGCCAGCACTAGGGAAGGCTCCAGGTTCCTCTCAAGAGAGGCTGTTTTTGTGTGTCTGAGCCCAGCAGACCTGCCGTGGGCTGGGCCTTTGTCACACTCAAGGTTCAAACCCCTTTCGAGGGACAGGGCTTTGGTGACAGAGGGACCTGAGACCCTCTGGGCTGGGCTGATGGGCAGTGAGGAGCGCAGCGCTGGGGCTGGGGGCTGCTCGGGGAACAGGGACGACTTCTTGGACCTGTCCACGGAGGGGACGGATGATAGGTCTGCCAGCAGCTCCCGGTCCAGCTCCAGTGAGGCCAGCTCAGGGTAGTTGCCCACCTCCTCATAGACAGGCTCTGTGTCCACCTCTTTCTCCTGCTGCTCCTCCAGAGAGTCCTGGTGCATCTTCATGGGCTGGGGGAAGATGGAGTGGCCAGAGTGAGGGGGAAGCCCAGGACAACCCCATACATCCCCCTTTAACTGGCTTTGCCCATGCTGCTCAGCCTTGCTCACCTCCCTGGCAGCCCTGCCACCCTCAGTTCACCCTGCCTGGACATGGGTGCTCCCCAGAGAGACCTGCTGGGCCTCGTCCCCTTGCAATGGGGCTAATACTTCTGCTAGACCTCTCTTGGGTGACCTGCACTTCTTCAGGTCTCTCCTCTCTCCCTCGGGCTCAGCCTGGGCCCTGGCAGTCTCCAGCATTGTGCCACCACTGTACCCCAGGGGATGTTCCCAGGAGTGGAAGCGAGCCAGGGCACCAGCACAAGTCACAGACCATGTCCAGGGCTCTGCTGTGGTGCCAGTGATCTCAGACTCTACTCGTTCCTGCTGCTCTTCCTTCACATTGCTCTTTCCCCCACCACTGAAGAAGGGTGAGCACTTTGGGCCTCAGCCTGCTCAAGGTCTGTGCACCCACTCAGCAGCCCCTGGCACAGATGGCCCTAGGAGGAAAGGCAGACCTTGGCAGGGCCCAAAGCCATGCAAGGTAAGTCCTGCAAGCCAGGCAGGGTAGGTGGCCCTGCCAGAAATAACCTGGTGGAGAGAAGGAGACAAACCTATTCCCTCACATTTCTCATGCTCAGCCCCTCTGGGCAATGCAGGGCCCAAAGGGAGAGGTGTAAGGAGCTGGGCTGGACTTCTGTGGACTTGACTATACACATCAGACCCATGTAGGGAGCCACTTGTGGGACACAGAGGGACACCCCATCCTCTGCCACATGGCATGGGCAGAATGGCCTGGGTACCTACATAAGCATGGGCAGGATGCTGCAGAAAGGCCCTTGCCCCCAGGAGCTATGAGGCACAGTTCGAAGCCTGCATTAGCACACCTCACACATGCAGATACTTACAAAGAACATGGACAAAGTCCTTCGCGTGTGCAGGCGGCGCTAGAAACAGAGGAGATGGGCAGAGATAAGCACCTGATAGCGCATAGCAGGGTCAGGGCTGCAGGAAAACCTGCCTCAGCAGGCGCAGGATGGACAGCAGTATGTGCTTCATTCCGAGCACAGCACCCTGGCATGCTGGCAGGCAGTTCTTGTCAACACTCAGGGCACCAATGTGGCCCTGCATGCCCCACAGTGCCCTGCATGCATGGGGAAGTGGCACAGACACACAAACACAGCACATGGCACACACGCACTGCTGGGTGCACAGACACACACTCAAAGTACCCACTTGGCTCTGGGCAACACATGCCCCTCTCCAAGTTGGTCTCGGGGTGGGTGCAGGAGCACCTGTAGGCAAGGGCAGCTGCTGTGGCCTTACCAGGGTCTGGTTGGCTGAAAGCATGGTGGCGTCAGTGCTGTCCCCGTGCAGGGGCACCAGCGGCATGGTGCCGAACTTCTGCTTGGCGAGGTCGGAGGAGGAACGTCGGCGCATGATCACAGGGCGCAGGTCATCGTGCTGTTCACAAGGACAAGGCGGGCTCACACCAGGCCACCCTGACGGCCCCCAGCCCATCCCAGCCCAGCTGGGTGGCAAAGCCAGCCTTCACCCACCTGAGCTTTGAGGATGCTGGTGGTCCAGTCCCACAGCTCAGCCTGCCCTGAGCATGCCAAGTACCTGCAAAGGAGTCAGCTGAGAAGCTGCCGGGGAGGAGGGCCAGCAGGGCCAAGGTCCCCTTGTCACCTTGCCTGGGAGCCTGGGGCTGTCATGTACAACCAGATCCCAGGACTGGTATCAGGAAATGGCCCTCTGAAACTCTCTGCGTGCCTAAATCACTGCTTTACAGGATTGACAGGAGCTTGCCCAGTCTGGCACCAGGCAGCTCAACTTGGCTGTCCTTGCTGGCCCTAGAAGAACGTCTCAGCCTAACATTATGGGCAGGCAAAATGTCCAGCCGGTGGCAGCACTACAGACCCAGTACTGGGCACTGCCCAGCATCAGCAGGGGCAGGGGAACAGGGAGAGGATCAGCAGGATGTGCTGGTGCACATGGAGATGGGGCAGGCAGGGAGCACTCATGGGCATGAGTCCCCGTGGTGACAGTGGGCACAACTCTCTCCTTCGGCCAGGTGTTGACAGCTCTGTCCCTCTCTTGGCTGCCCGCCCAGCTTAGGGGACCGATTGCCCCTGGAGCCTGGTCCATGTGCTGCCCACGTTGTGCCATGTGTGCAACCCCCACAACTGTGCCCCTGAGTGCCCCAGCCAAGCTCTGGCTCTGCCCTGGCCCTCCAGGATCCTCTAGAGCCCCAGGAACATGATAAAACTGGCTGTTGTGGCCTCATTAAGACTGGAGACAGGAACTATTTTGCATTCCCCCCACCCCTAGCTCCAGCAAGGCAGGGGCAGATACTCACAACTGCTGCTTGTCCAAGGTCAGGGTGAAACCCCACCTAAGGAAGTAAGACACAGATTGTGTGGCAGGACCACCAAACCTCAGATGTGGCCATAGGCTTATGGCTAGTGGGGTGGAGGGATCAGAATGCCCCACTGGGCCCAGGCTCAGCATAGCTTTGGGTCCTGGTGGGGACTGAGACGTTCCCAGTGGCCAGGTTGGAGTGTCAGGTATCACAGTACAGGGATCGAGGGCTGCAGCTGACTCTAGGTAGAAGACTGTGCCTGCTCCAGCACCTCAGGAAGAGAGATGAGGTGATGGATACACTCCCCAGGGTCATGTCCGGTAAAGGTTCAACTTACTGGCCTGGTGGCTTCAGCTTCTTCCGAATGCCCATGTAAACCTTGGCTGCATCCAGGGCCCACTCTCGCTCTGGCTTGGCGCTCTGAGGAATGAGAGCCAGAGGGTTTCACAGCCCAGCTCTGGGCCTATTACATGCCCTCCCATCTGCCCACCCTGCTCAGGAGAGGATCCTGCACAGCTGTGACAATGCCACCGCTTGTCCCTGTGACCGCGGACTTTCCCTCCCCGCACACCCTAGTTCTCCTCCCACGCTCGGAATATAGATCTGGCCCCACTGCATCCCCCAGATACCCTCTTCTCCTTGAGCAGCAACAGCTTCCGGTCTCGGATGACAAAGTAACGCTCCTGAAACTTGTTTCCCAGCAGCTTGGGGGGCTCCTCACGGCATTTCAGCAGTCCACACTTGGGAGACTCACGCTTGGCACCTGCACAGTGGAGGAGACAGAAGGTCTGCCTGGCCTGGGGGATAGGTGAGGTTGTCGGGGAGTATCAGAAGGCGTCCCCTCTGTGGGCAAGGCTGG